ATCCTGATGCCGCCGGCTCGGCCCCGCCACAGATGGTCTGGCACGGGAGTACAGGCTCTCGCGGAGCGCCTGCTTCACGCGCTTGCGACGAAAGCACCGCTACCCCCGCCCGCGGCTCTGCACCCTGCCCGACGCGCCCCCAAAGTCTGTTCCGCAAGCAGGGGATACGGAAGGCGCAGACAGGCAGACCGCCCGAGACATCCTTGCAATCTGGGCGCGAACGGCCCCTTCGAGATACTCCCCATGTCGCCCCCCCCCTCCACACCCCCTACCCCCCCTTGGGGGTGCGAAGACCAGCGCGTCGCCCGAACACAGAGGATGTCAGCACGCAGGCAGGCCAACCGCTCGAGACATCCCCGCCACCTGGGCGCCGTGAGATACCCCCTGGCGACCCCCCTCCCCCCCTGGGGGCGCGAAGACCCGCGCCTCGCCCGAGACATCCTCAACATCTGTCCCGAACGCGGGTGATGTGAGGCACGCGAACAGGCAAACCGCTCGAGACATCCCCGCAACTTGGGCGCGAACGTGCCCGTGCGATGCCCCCTTGGCGCCCCCCCCCCCCTTGGGGGCGCGAAGTCCCGCGCCTCGCCCGAGATATCCTCAAATCCGGGTCCGAAAGCAGATGATGTCGGGGCATGATGATCATCAGCATCATCAGGAGCAGCATCAGCATCAGCATCAGCATCAGCATCAGCATCATCATCATCATCATCATCATCATCATCATCCTCATCATCATCATCATCATCATGATCATCATCATCACCATCATCGTCGTCGTCATCATCATCAACATCAGCATCATGATCATCATCGTCACCGTCATCAGCATCACTATCATCATACTCGACATCATCATCATCAGCATCATTATTATCATCATCATCATCCTCATCCTCGTCGTCATCAGTGTCATCGTCATCGCCATCGTCATCGTCATCGTCATCGTCATTATCATCCTCATCATCATCAGCAGCATCAGCATCATTCTCCTCGTCATGCTTGTTGTCATCGTCATCAACATCATCATCATGCTCATTATCAGCATCATCATTACCACCATCTTCATCGTGAGCATCATCATTATCATAATCATCGTCATCATCATCGTCATCATCGTCGAGCGAATGAGGCAACATCATCATCAGTATCATCATCGTCATCATCACCATCATCATCATCATCTTGATCATCATCAAGAGGGAGAGGGTGCGTTCTCGTGCTCGGCCCGGCCGGAGTAAGAACAATAAACTCATTCTTATGATATGGAGACAAATACAGATCGCAGTGCGCTGCCCGCACTCTTATCGCAGGTGTGATCGACAATTGCCGTGAGTGCCAGCCAAGCGCTGACCTCCGACGCGTCAAAAGTAACACCATCGGTTGAGCTGGTGAAGGCTCCCGACCAGGAAGTGGAAGGGGGCATCCTCTTCTACCGCAAGTGCCCCATATGGCACATGGTTGGCATATCCGACATGTGGCACGCAGCACGGCTGCACAAAGGAGATGCTTCCGATGCCGGGGTCGATCTTCCGAGTGCTTGTACTCAGTCATCATAGCATGTTGGATTTGTATCTTCGGACCCTTCAAAACTTGGTCGACGACGGTTGGCAAGGTATTCTTGGAACTGAAGCTGAAGCAAAGCCATTCTTCGACCGACATGGCATAGTGGTCCGAGTACGAGCCCCCGACCAGCACGCCCGGATGATCGAGCGACGCAATGCGATCTTCCGACACGCCGTGCATTGCATTGGCGAACAGCTACGGCCTTAACGACTACGAGTCACCATGCCCGACCTCCTGTCCGAGGCAGTTTTTGCTGGTAGCTCACTCATACCACGCGAAGGTGCCACTCCTTGCAATGCCAGGTTCGGCCGACAGCGAAGGATGTTGTCGGACATGCTGGCGCTCCCCGACGACGCGGCGGGGGCTGCACTTATTTCCCGCCGAGTACGAGAGAGCATTGCAACGGATCGTGGAGGCATCGGCCATCTCACGAATCAGCGGCGCCTCCAAGACCATGAACGAAGTCTCTTGGCAGACCCTGTACTACATACCAGCAGTGCTCGTCGGCGTTTACGGAGCCCTATCCACTAAGGACGTAAGCGGCTGGAGTGCACCAGCCGCCGTTCTCAAGATGGACGCGCAAGGCTGTGCAGTGACCATGAGTTACCGCGACGCCGGGCAAAGCTGCCGCTTGGCTGATGCACGGCGGCTCATGGACTTTGGAGGGTTCCTTGACGGAGTTACCAGCCAGACGACGACACCACGCGGGTAAGTTTGGATGGTAGTTGAACAGTTTGCCTCCAGCTTCACGACTAGCACGCTCCAGCGGTTTTGCTTAGCCGACACCAGCACCATCACCATGGTGGCCATTTTTGTGGCGTCAAGTCGCCATTTGTTCCGGACACACCTCCGAGAACGTTCTTATTCTTACAAGTGTCGTTGCAGTCCAAGTGGGGCGCGGTCTTGAACGGTCCGTCATCGAGGACAGCCAAGACGGATCACTCCTGGTCCCGTGAAGAGTGGGCTTGCGCGAGGTCGAAACCTGATGGAGCACCGAGGCTGGCCCGCCCAGCCTGGTCGAGCTCCTAGGCCCAGATCGCAGCAAGAGGGCGTTGGTGGCCGCTGCTTCGGAGATATCGCGGAAGACGCTCTTCAAGCGGCGGACGTGCGGGGTAGCAGTGCCGACGCCGCGCAGACTGGCGCTCACCTCGGCGAGTCTGCCCGCGACGACGGCCGATCCTCAACCATCCCAGGAAGGGTCGCACGAGGACTCTTCGAGCGACGCGCGCCTCCTCGACCCAAGCTGGCGGGTATCCTTGACGGTTGGGCAAATATCTTCATGCGTGATGCCCCCGCTGCAGGCGCAGTGAGCTTCGACTCACTCGGGGTGGCCGAGCCACGGCCCGCCCCGCCATTTCCGCCGCCGCCCTTTCTGGATGCAGCAGTGCAGCCAGACCAGCGCTACTTATCATTCGGCGCCGAGCCTCTCGCGCCATCGGAGACCAGCGACTTCGACGACGACGGACATGCTTACGTAGAGATTATACTGGCACCCGACGAGTTGCACAATCTCATCCTTGACCTCTCAGTAACTCGCGGCCGCTGCGCGACTCAGAGCTTCGTTGCCGCGTCGCAGAAAGCTGAGATCTAACGCGACGCTGACCCATTCGCCCTCGCTAGTTCCAACAGCGCGCCGCAGTGGCCGCGGAGGTGCTCGAGGAGCTCCGTGTCTCGGTGGGCCGCAAATGTTTCTCGCGGCGACCGCGCCGAGGAGCCAGGAACGCCTTGAATTTCAGGTGGGTGGGCAAGTTTAAGCGAGCGCGGAAGATGTCAGATCCCGCGCCGATTGCAAGGGTCATGCGCATGCGGCTGATTCTTCAAGGCTCCAAGGACATCGACGTTGACCCGTCGCCGCCGACGCCGGCGCCTCCTCGCGACTCGCAGCGAGAGATCGTCTCTGAGGCGGCCCCCCGAGGGTGGTCGGCGGACGCGCATGTCACCACGAAGTCCTTAGCGGGGGTCAGCTACAGATAACTCGCGGAGGAAACGGGCGAGGGTCAGCGCGAAGTTCATCGAGCTCTCCGCCGACGCCGTTGCAGTCTTCCGCGGGGCCCAAGTATTCGAGAGCTTCGATCCAGCAGTCGAGGCCCTTCATATGGAGAAACCAGGCGCCGCCTTCAGGGCGAGATTCTGGCCAATCCGCTTCGCAAACGCCTGCCAGGCCGCCCCCGCCTTCTGCGACAACGTGCTCATCGCCAAACGCCACAATGGCGAACTCTGTCTCCTAGCAACCAGAGACGCTGACGACATCCATGTGGCGTGAACTCCTGAGGAGGCAGCTCAGCTTCGCAAGTGTCTGGAGGGCGCCATTGGAAAAAGGTGAGCTGGATATGTTTGAAGGAACTTTCACACGCTGTGGGGCGCGACGTTCGCCCGCCAGCGATGGTGGTCGCGAGCTGGATCGGACTGATTATATTCAGGCGCCCAAGCGCATCGGCTAAGCTCGCTGGGAACTTCCATTCTGAGCTCGCGCCTGACGGCCTAGCTGAGGTGTTTTTTCTTTCCGCATGCCCGCTGCAGCGGGGTTTACCCTCGTCGCGAAGTGATCGTGGTCCGCACGCGGACCAGCGTTTTGTCGAGTGGCAGGTGCACGCCATAGCTCCGAGGGCTCAAAGCTGGATCGGCTGGCCCCTGTGGGGAACCACCGGCATAGCCCTCTGTTCGCTTTCGCCCCCGCCATATATCGAACGGGTGTAGGGCCCCCTTGCGGGGGGCCCGTGGCGCTACGCTCTGAGAGCGCGCCCACCCTACAGCCATGGCGGCGTGCGTCGAAGACTGCGTCTACACCGAGGCGGAATTTCTAGACCCAAGGGATTCGAAGTCCGCGCAGCGGCAGTCCGACAGCAAGGTGGGGGAGCTCATCCTCACCAAGGACTACTCTGACGCTGGTGCAGGTCAGGGATATTCTCTTTATAAGATTGACTTGGAACGTCAGTCAAATTTTGAGGGGAAGATTTTGGAGGTTACTCATCTCGGATCTTCTCACGAATATTACAGGTGGTACGTCGGGGACGTCCTCGAGAGGGAGAGGCCCATCTGGCTCCACTTATGCTCGCAGGGATCTGCGAGGACATGCTGCGCTGCGATGCCCGCCTCCAAGGACAAGAAGAAGGCGGAGGTCATCCACGTCGACTTGTGGCGCAAGGTGCTCGCCCGGGAGGCTCGCGAGCTCCCGCGGGTGCCCCCCAGAAGCCCCCCGAAGAAAAAGGTTCTTCCAGAGCCGCCCAAAAAGGGGCGCCCCCCTCCCGATCAAGAGCGGGAGGAGGAAGAGGAGGAGGAAGAGGTGCAGCATCAGGAGCAGGGGCACGAGGACGGCATCGACCCCTACGATCCGCTCGGCCTCAGGACAGGAAAGGGCCGTGGCGGTGGTGGCAGCCGGAGAGGCGACGAAAAGAGGGACAACAGGCCCGAGCCGCCGCCTCGGACGGGCAAAGGTGGTACTCTCATGGACCATGGTGGACCTCGCGGAGATCGAGAAGGCGGCCCCCGCCGACGCGCAGATGCCCGACCTCAAGCGCAAGCTGGCTGGCATCAAGGAGCGCTTTGCTGGTGGCCGCCCTGAGGGCACGGCCAGTGGCAGTGGTGCTCGAGACCAAGTTCCGGGCACTGGGGCCACCAAGAGGCGGAAGCTCTCCGATGTCCTCGCCGAGAGGGCCGTCGCTACGAGTGCGCGCGCTGAGAAGCCGGCTGGGGCCAGGGACCCCAAGGACAAAGAGTCGATCACGATCGACGGACTTGCTCGCATCATCCGGCGTCGTGTGATTGCGGACTCTGACGAGTCGGGGGAAGACGAGGGAGGGCCAGGGAACGGCAGGCCAAGGCACGTCGACATCCTCAAGACGCGGCGGAAGTCTGCCGGCCAGCTCAGCGAGGACACGCTGCAGCGGATGGCGAGGCTCCTTGGCACCCTGGCGGCCTCCGATTTCAGCGACGCCGCGTGCCGGGCGATTGTCCAGGCTTACGTGCACCAGATCATGTTCAACGAGTTCCCCCGGCAGAAGATTGGCCTGCGCAATTCCCGGGAGATCGAGACCCTGGCGCTCGCGGCCGATCACCTCCTCCGGGGGGGGCAGGCGGTGGCCCTGGACGTCGTCATGCAGAGGCTCAAGGCCCTCGAGCGCTCCCTCGTCGACGAGAATTGGACCGTCGCCAGGTGGCGCGAGCTCATGCCGACGGGGGGGGCGCAGCTCGCCAGCCGCGCAGAAGCGACGGCAGCGCTCAAGCTCGAGGAGTCCGAGAGGAAGCTCAGGGGGCCCAGGACCGTCGGGATCAAGCCCTGATCCAGGACTGCATTGGAGCAGTCCGGGCCTGCCGCTCCGACGCCTGCGCCGGCGGCCATTTCGAATTCTACACCGCTGATTTCTTCTGCGTCGGCCGGGGCTGCCGCAGCACAGCCGTTGGAGAGTCGCCACTCCGTTGGTGTTGGAGGCAACGTGCAGCACCGGGGGTCAGGGACGAGCGGCAAGGGCTATGGCAGGTGTGGCTGGCCAGCAGCGAGAAAGGGACGCTGTGCGCCTTGAGGCTTTTGGACACTCGCCACGGCGTCACTCCCATCCCGTAGCGCGTCAACGTTGTCAACGTTGTCAACGTTGTCAACGTTGGGCATCCCTCCTTCCTCTCCCGCTGCTAGCGGGATCCCAGGGCTGTAGGGGAGGCGCCCCCCCCCCTCCCCCCCAAGGCGCCAACGTTGTCAACGTTGTCAACGTTGTCAACGTTGCCCCCCGCCCCCCCCCCCCCCCCTGCCAGCGAGGACCCAGGGCTCCAGGTTGGGCGCTCCCCCAAGGCGCCAACGTCGTCAACGTTGTCAACGTTGGGCCCCCCCCCCTTCCTGCCAGCGAGGAGCGCGGGCTCCAGGTTGAGCGCCCCCCCACGTTGTCAACGTTGTCAACGTTGGGCCCCCCCCCTGCCAGCGAGAACCCAGGGCTCCAGGTTGGGCGCCCCGCCAAGGCGCCAACGTTGTCAACGTTGTCAACGTTGGGCCCCGCCCCTCCTGCCAGCGAGGACCCAGGGCTCCAGGTTGGGCGCCCCCCCAAGGCGCCAACGTTGTCAACGTTGTCAACGTTGTCAACGTTGAGGCCCCCCCCCTCCTGCCAGCGAGGAGCGCGGGCTCCAGGTTGGGCGCCCCCCCAAGGCGCCAACGTTGTCAACGTTGTCAACGTTGGGCCTCCCCCCTGCCAGCGAGGACCCAGAGCGTCAGGTTGGGCGCCCCCCCCCCCACGCGGATGGAGGGTGCATCGATTTCAGAACAGGGTGTTTGTCGCTGCTCCTCTCACATTCGTATTCAAAGCTTGCAGCATGTATACCCGCATGGACGTACGGCCACTTTTAAGTTGACGATCTCGCTTTGATGCCGTGCGCAGTTGTCTTGTACAAGTTGAACGCATGTTAGTTCATGCAGGCGGACATCTGTTCAAAATGGGACTCTAGCCCAACGAGTTCTTGACTCTGTTCTTGGAGCAGTAGTAACGTAGGCCGACTATTTGTCAAAGGAGGATCTGGCGTAAAAGGCAGGCCCATGAAACGCTCGTCTTTCCAGGAAGCGCCCCCATAAGCGAAAACGAGCACTTGTATTTCAGCATCGTTGACGCATCTTGGCTTTACTCAGCATCCCCTCCTGCTTCCCGCCTCCTTCCCCCCGCGCCCGTCCTCCTCATCCACCTAAGCCCTCGTTCCCCTCTCTCCTCCCCCTCCTCCTCCACCTCTTCTTCCTCCCCCCCCACCGCCCGCATCCTCCTCATCCTTCCCCTCCTCTTAAACATCGCGACCCCTGGACCTCTCCATAGGTGCGTTCCGATCAGAATTTCGAGGGCCATTCAGCCATGGCGACTAGAAGCGTCGCTGAGACCCAAACATACGGGCACTCGCCCAAATCCGATCGTCGAACCTCGAACCTCGATCTTTGATCTTCGATTTTCGATCTTCGAACCTCGATCCTCGACCTCGATCCTCCTCTCCTCCCGCGCCCGCCCGGTCGGGATGGGCGGCCACTTCAGCAAGAACGCGCTCGCGCCCGCGCAGCCCGCGCTGGAGGCTTCGGTGTAGTCGCCGTCGTCCTCAGCGCCCCCGGTCGCGCCAGGAGGAAGAATGGGCAGGAGGAGGAGGAGGAGGAGGAGGAGGAGGAGGAGGAGCTGGAGTTGGAGTTGGAGGAGGAGGAGGCGGAGGAGGAGGAGTAGGAGGAGGAGGAGGAGGAGGACGAGGGGGAGAAGGAGGGGGAGGAGGAGGAGGAGGAGGAGGAGGAGGAGGAGGAGGAGGAGGGGGAGCCGCTCGGCCCGGGCTGAGTCGCTGGCAGGGCCACGGAGCCTACAAGGAGCATGCTGTTTTTGAGCATTCGCCAGCCTGCTGGCGAACGTTTACAGGCACCAGGCTGTGGCGACGTGTCGAGGGAGAAAGGGGCGGGAGCAGGAACAGGCTATCCCACGCAGTGGTTCGAGAAGAGAGGCACCAGGAAACCACTGAGCATTGCTAAGCAGCTCAGGGCTTGCGCCGCAACGCCGAGTCAACGTGAGACAAGCAGTCCCGTCGATGAGGTAGGACATGTATAAGTGCATGATTTCGCTGGATCCCGCATGGAAGCATGAGCATAGAAACCACACATCGGAAAACACCAGACCTTATGGACTTGCTGAAGCCGCGTCGAGTGTGACTAATGCGCCCATCCCCCAGCGAGATGGAGCCGCCCCCCCGCAGGAGGAGCCAAACACGTTTCATTCACAGGGGACGCGGTGAAACATGGCGACGAGTGTCACTCCCGAAGTGTGGCTAATGTGGCCGACCCAAAGCAGATCTGTTTTTGTTGTTATCTTTTTCTTGGGTTAAAAAACGAGAATCATCGAAGGTGCGTGCAGAGCAAGAGGCCGCGACCCGACTCTGAGCAGGAGGGCGGGTGGGGATGCGAGAAGAGTGAGCGCTCCGCCCCCTCCGCCCCGCTCCTCCTCCTCCTCCTCCTCCTCCTCCTCCTCCTCCTCCTCCTCCTCCTCCTCCTCCTCCTCCTCTTCCTCCATCCAGGGTTCGTTCGCTCCTCCTCCTCCTCCTCCTCCTCCTCCACCCCGCTCCTCGGCCTCCCACAGCGTCGGCCTGCATGGCGTCCAGGGACGCTCGCAGCAGGCGTCAGGCTCACCGTCCGGGCGCGGCTCCTCCTCCGTCGGCGCGGCGTGCCGGAGACCTTCTCGGGGGTCCGGGCGCGGGTCGCTGCCTCCGGCGCACGGTGCTCAGCACTCACAGCGTCTTCGGTCAATTATGAGGTTGTTTTTTATGTTTTGTTTTGTGTGTGTTTTCTCCGCTGCTTTCGCCACCCTTGTGGCCCCTTTTCCGCGGCACGCTTGCGACAGCAGGGCTTGCGCTTCTCTTTCGGCTTTAGGACGGCGCGCGGCTGACCGCGTCGCTCGCAAGCAAAAAAGGTGTTTTCTCCGATCCGCAACCACGCATTAGCGTCAGCTGCTGACGGGGACCCAGATTCGCCCACAAGCGAGCCTGGCATGGCGTATTCGCTCTCTGTCGCATGGCAGATGAAGCCGGCACCCGCCCTCATTGCGACATCGCGTGCCGTCAATTCACCACGCGGCACTGATTGACGAGGGCCAGGCACAGGACCTGAAACCGAAGACTGAACTGGAAGGGGAGCCATGGACGTGAACGAAAACACCGCCAGTCCAAGACGTCGAAACCGAGAATCCCTCGAAGCCTTCCTCCCAGACGCGTCACCGAACATCAAAACCATATCAAACAGAGAACCATTCTTAAGACATGTTGGAACAAATCATTGCATCTGCCAGCCCACCATTATTATTAATCAGGTGGTGACGCGAGCGCCATGTCCGATGCCGAATCGAGGCCTTTCAAAGCTGGATCGGCCTCAGGCTGTGAAAAAGCTTCTGGTGCCAGGATTGCAGATTGCTCGAGTGCGATGGAACTTACGTTGTGGTCACATCCCCATGCAGGTGGAAAATCAGACTCTGGATCATTTTGGTATCGCGGGCCCATGTCATCAAAGCCGGGATCGAGCTTCTCCTCAATCGTTGACCTTGGCCAGTACCCCCCGATAGCTATTCTGACCATCAACTCGCTCAGACGCTCCTCCTGCTCTGTTGCGCAACCAACCTACGAAGCGAGTAATTGCCCACTTCCTGCTGCATGCCTTCACGCGCCGAAGTCCAGGCGCAGCCTGCCGAAGCTCAGCCTGTATAGACGCGGTAAAATCGCGCGAAACAGATACGGGTGAATATAAGTCTATGTTGCCAGGTAAACCGTCCACCAGAAGCCTTAAAGCCTCTAAGCCTCAAAGAAAATCATCAAGCGGTTTCCAGTGGTCAAGCTCCAAAATTTCCACGCCGCCTCCAAAAGATATGGCATAACTGCTCCGTAAGACCCTCGAGCGTGCCGTGAGCGATGGAAAGGGATCGCATGCTTAAATTTATGCAGCAGGATGGGCCATGCGCGACGGCAAGTAGGTCGAATACCAGGTGTATGGAGCCAGCGTCGCATCCAAACTTCCGAAAGAGCGTGTTCTACCGCTGCTGGCGGAAAACTGGGGGGGGTCACTACCGGTTCGAACCCCTCCCCCCCCCCCTCCGGAAAACGGGGGGGGGGTCACTACCGGTTCGAACCCCTGCCCCCCCCCCCCCAGTTCATCATTAAAATGGGGGGGGTCACTACCGGTTCGAACCCCCCCCCCCCCATCCCCCCCTCGAACTCGAGAACCGGGGGGGTTCACTACCGGTTCGAACCCCTCCCCCCCCCGAAAACCGAGGGGGGGTGCGGACAGTGGTGGGGACGGTGGTGGTGGGGACAGTGGTGAGGGGACAGCGGGACAGTGGTGGGGACAGTGGGACAGTGGTGGGGACTGTAGTGGTGGGGACAATGGTGAGGACAATGGCGGGAACAGTGGGGACAGTGGGACAGTGGTGGGGACGGTGGTGGTGGGGACAGTGGTGTGGGGTCAGTGGGAATGTGGTGGAAACAGTAGGACAGTGGAGGGTACAGTGGTGGTGGGGACAGTGGTGAAGGCGGTGGCGAGGACGGCGGTGGAACAATGGGACAGAGGTACAGTGGTGACAATGGTGGGGACAGTGGGGACAGTGGTGGGAACAGTGGGACAGCTCAGTGGGACAGCGGAGGAGTCAGTGGGACAGTGGGGATAGTCGTGGAGAAAGTTGGGAGTGTGGAGCCGTGGTGGGAACAGTGGTGGGGACAGTGGGGACAGTGCGACAGTGGTGGTGGCACTGGTGGGGACAGTAGGGGCGGTGGTGGAACCAGTGGGGACAGT